AAAATGAACTATTATATTATTTAAAAAAACAAAACTGTTGCTTTAAGAGTTTAAACAGTGTGGCAGCAAGCAAGCAATAGGAGTGCTGGGTTTGTCAGAATCAGCCTCATCAGTGAAATCTGAGAACTGTAGCTAAAAGCTAAATATGATTTTGGGCTCTGTCTCCCTGAACCTTAAATAGAAAGGAATCATTCTGAATAAGTGGATGTATGCTGTTTGTTTTAAGTTTAACCACATTCATACCATATCAGAATATGAAATTGCCCATAAAATACCCATCTCCTCCTGGAAACATCTCTAGTGGAGGCTCCCTGACTATGCAACGAGCTGGATATGCAGTTTAGAAACTACTGTCTGGATCTTCATTGTTCCTATCAGATTGACAGAGGACATGAAACCTTAAGTCCCTATTAGTCCATCTCAATTCTGAGTGACAGGAAGGGGCCTTAAAATGGATTTCAGTGCAGAATTTCAGAGTGACCTCCCAAGACAAATACAAATGCATATACATGCCTGAGGCCAGAGCATGCAGAGTCCCCACACCGTCACACTATTTCCAATACCTGAACATGGAGGCTGTTCCAGAGGTTGCAAAGCTTTTAGTTTTGGGTAGCCTGTTGCTGACATCCCCATAACTTGCCTTTGTTTGTTGTGTTCTCAGTTCCCTTCTGAGCCTTGTGCTGAGAGCCTGTGGGTCTTCCTTTGGGGAGCCTGTGGCTCTTTTTTTCCTTTTTGCTTTGAAGGCATCCAGATCTGATGGGCTCTGTTCCTCACACCTCACCTGAACTGCACTGTCTTCACATTTTCAGGATCCAAAGAGAGGTATGTATAGAGAAACTGATCTATATCTCATAAAAAGGCCAAACGTGAAGTTCCACTCACTAACCACACTGATGGCAAGCTGCATTGTAAATTTGCATTTTGGCCCACATGGACGTTCAGGGTGCTTCTGCCTCATTTACTTTGCCTCAGAATGTGTCTTCATGATAGTGGTTTGTTCATTGAGCCTCCCCAGAGGTGTAAAGGGATTCTTGACTATGGGGTATGGGATAGCTATGACTATGGGGTAGCTACAATTCTCTAAGGTTAGACACAATGGAGAAAGGAAGGAACCGGAGAAAATGACAGAAAGAATGAGTCAGGAAGGTACCTGCAGGCCTAATGATTACTTGTATTTCCTACAGATCCTGGGATGTGGCTGGGAGTCAGGATCCTGGGCCAAGTGCACATGGCAGGTGGCTCTCCAACAAGAAAATTGGCATTTTCTTGACTTTGGCTTTCCCTGATAGGCACTCCAACAAGAAAATTGGTGTTTTCTTGCCCCTTGCTTTCCCTGGTAGGCTATCACTGGGCGACAAAAAGGATGTAGAGTAGAGGAGACTTGGGTCAGCAGTAGAGTGCGTGTGAGGGAAAAGTCAGAGATGTCAGATGCCAAGTGAGGGGGCATATTTCTTTCCTAAAAACGCAACACTAGGATGTGGAGAAAGGCTAACCATTCCATCTGTGAAGTTAGGAGAGATGGCCTAGTGTTCTGTCACCGTAACTACATTACATTACTACATATACAATGTTGTTATATATATAATGATGTTATACAACATAATATATATTATATATATAACAACTTATATATATATATAACATAATATATATATTATATATATAACAACATTTATATATATAAAACATCATTCTTCATTTTTGTACAATGTATACTTTTTCATCTCACTTACAACCCTGGTGGAATTCCCACCAGCAATTCACCCATGTGCCATCATCATAGTCCCTGTGCTCTTCCCAGGCCTGTTCTGATCTTATTCTTTTCTCCCCACCCTGTGGAATGCCTCTGGTTTATAGTTGCTTGTTAATTTTGGTTTTTACATTATTAACATTTACCTTTTTCTTCATGATCCCTTACACTCTCCTCCTGTAAGTGAACCCCCCCTCTGCTATTTTTCTTTCTTTCTAGCCCTTTTGAATTCAGCCAAGACAACTGTCAGGGGACTCCACAATGATAAATGGCTAAAATCTCTGACATTTCATAAGGAATGTCTCCCTCACCTCCCCACCCCTGCCTGGGAATAAAATTGGCACCTTTTGCTACCTTAAAGGACATTGTATCCTCTCTTCTTTGAGGGTAAGTGCTATGTAGTTAGAAGGAAACAACTTAAACTTTTCAGTGCAAGTGAGGATGTCTTCTCCCTCAGCTTCTCAGGATTGTCAAGTGAGTAGGAATTCTTAGCCAGGTGTAGGAGGACCTAGACCACATGGCTTTAAATGTGTCTTTCAATTACATGAGTTGCCAAGTAAAGCCAGGTTAGTCTAGTTTTAATTAGCTTTTGTGGAAATTAACTTCAACACAAATAAATACAGAATCAGACAATTCTCTGTAGAATATACTCATATCTCACCTTATTTGTTTCATTGATGAGTCGGAACTTGGTGCTGTTTCTTCCTGTTCTGACCAAGTCTAGTGACGCCTGATAGGGGGACTTCTTGGAGAGCCATTGTTTCTGACGTCTGCAGGTTCAGAATATAGAGATGCCTAAGACTTACTTGTTACTATCAGCACTGAATAGAACATATCACCATGTTTAAATTATTAAAATTCAGTCTCACCATGTTTAAATTATTAAAATTCACTATGACTGTAAGTGAACTGGGCACAAATATCGTTAGCACTCTAATAAGTGCTAACAAGGGTGCTGTGCTGTTAAGAGTGCTAATAAAATAAGTACTAGTAAGAGAATACAATGAAATTGTTCATATAACACTGCTTAAGGATGGCATTTTGTGCCTTTTTTTTTTAAGAGGAAGCAGTGTTCATAAAGGAAATAAGTGAGTTTGTTAATTTCCCTCCCTCTTTCATAAAAGGCATATTCTAACAGAAACTCAGTAAATTTTAGTGGAAATCCAACTTATTCTAGTGGTTTAAGAAGGTGATGAGGTATTCATTATAGAGTTTCCTTTAAGGTACCTGTTCAGAATGAAAATATGATTTTCATCCTCTGGAGTAGTATGGATAATTATAAATGGAAACCATTGAAAAATATATCATATTTTAATGTATAATTTTTGATGATATTAGCTTTAAGAGCACATTAAAGGAAGACACTGAAAAAAATATAGATTTCTTTTTCAAAGTACTTTTTGAATCTCTGGGGAAACAGGTACTCTTATACAATATCTATAGAGGGATACCTGATAATAGTTAAAATTTCAAATGCATTTTCTTGTTTTTGTCTTTGTCCTCTTTTTCACTTTTCCTTTTTTTTTTTTGGCATTTATACTGACTTCTGAAAATTTAGTCTATAGTACATATGCTTATGTAGTAAATGACACACATATAGCCCTTCATAGTGGTAGTACTGTTATAGCAAAGAATTGGAAAAATCAAAAGTTTTAGCAATAGAAAAGTGAACAAATTATAGTACATTTAACCAATGGAATGCCAGACAGTTAAGAAAAGTATTCATCTTCATAATAAACTATGAAGTAGGGAAAAAAGGTACACAACAATGTATACTGAAATTACCTGGTGTAAGAAAGTGGGTGATATAAGAATATATGGATTTGTAAGAAAAAATATCAGAAGGATAAATAAGAAGTTAATAAATCTGGTTACATACATGAATCAGGGATCAGATACAGAGTAGGGTTGAAGAAGATAGGAGTGGGAGGAATATTTTTCAAGATATACTTTTTTATAATTTTAGTATTTGAACCATGAAAAGTACCGTGTTTTGAAAGATTTTCAATATTAACAGTAGTTTAAAACATCTTGATATTTAAAATAAAATCTTGTTTATTGAAAAATTTTAAGTAATAAACAAGTAAATAAAGTTAAAGATGAATGTCTCCTGTTGATAATTTCCTTAACCACTGAATTTCCCAAGAAATTTCTTAGAAAGCCTATCAGTTCTCAAAAAGTATTAAATGTCAATTTAGAAATAATGTCAGAAATCTTATCATTTAGGTAATACATTTCCTTTCCTTACCTGTAGAAAGCAATCTTGTTGCAGTCTTTGAAGATGTTTTTATCCACAGCTTCATCTTCAACACTAAATAAAATGAGTTTAAAGAAATATACTTTAAATATAGCTTGTAAATTTGACTTTTGTACTTTCTCTAAACCTCTGCAATGTAAAATTATGTCACAGTCATAATATAATGTGATAACGTGTGTTGCAGAGCAAAATCCTTTTATAAATTTTCCAAGGTAAAGAACAAAACATGAAATTCTGGGAATTTCATGTTTCAAGCATTCTGAAAATGCTTCAAAAAGAACACAGTCAGTTATGAGTACGGGCTCTTTTAAAATAATGACCGAAGGCTGTGGTTACAACAATAAAATCTAAAGGAGCAAACCCAAACAAACCCTCTAAAACCAAACAGAAACTACCCACCTACCTATTTATTCACCAAAACATTATTAGAATATTTTTGAGTGCTGGCTCTGAGGAAGGATTGTGTCTGAGCTTTCTGTGAGAGTCTAGTCAATAACCACCAGTTAACCTGAGGAATGTGCCAAGTGTTGGAATAAGAATAGAAACAGATGTAGAAGGAAAATATTTTGCTTAAGACAATACTGACAAACTAGGGACCAGTGTTTTTTAAACAAAGTTTGCAGAAGAACTGTTTCTTAAGTAAGTTGCTACTTGATTATATATTTTTAGATATGTTTAACATATGCAGATTAAAACAACCAAAGGCTATAAAAGATAAAACACATTTGCTTTCATGCAGAGGTATTTCTGAATACAGCTATAAGTAGTAAGTTCATGATTATTTAGGAAGCTCTTATTGAATATCCATTTCAAAATATTTTGAAAACAAGTTTAGACCTATATACATTTGGCCATACTGGAAAAATGGTTTATCCTGAAACCAAGCAACTCTTTCATCAATACAGTTTTGTCACTTTATTTTAATCAAGTATGCAAGGATTAGGAAAATTTTCAGTATCCTTTTTCAGCTTTGAAGAATGAGCACTGGAATGACACAGGGAAAGGTGGGAATAGTTGAACTTGGAAAGCATGCTTGAAATTCATGTGTTAAGAGTTCTGATGGTAACTCTTCCACTGTTTTTTTTTTTTTTTAACCATGAAGAAAGTATTTTATGAGGTGCTAGCTATTAATATCTATCAACACCTCTGCAGAATTGAGAAAAAAAGGACTAAGTACACAAGTAGCAAACATGCAAACAAGAAGTACAATGAAACAGCCAATAAAACCTTCAATGCCAACATTGTCGCTTTCAGGTACTTTCTGGTACAATCCCCAGTCTGGGTGAACTCTCAAGCCAGTGGCAGGACCAGAGCCTTTACCTTATTTCCTCTTTTTCAGCAGCTGCCATGGCTTCCAGTCACTGGCTCCCAGTTTTCAGGTCAAGGCCCCCGACGATCCTGTGAAAATGTTGATTGACGCTCTTTGCAAATTTTAATCAGCACAGCACCACTGTCAAGTTTCTGGGAAAATAGAATCTCCTCCAGTCCTGAGGGAGTGAACCTTGTTCCTGGGTTTTCTAGGCTCACACAAGCGTTTCTAAAGGTATTTAGTTGGCAAATTATTCTGGTTATGAGCAGCTGATAAAGAAATAAAGAAATTGTCTTCTTTAGGATCCGAAATTTTCGTATCAGCTGAGGGGGCGTGTACACAAAATGTCCTAAAGGATTAAAAAAAAAAAAAAAAACCAAGAAACCAGGAAGTAACCTGCCAGAATAGGGCAGAACTTCTGCAGGTTTATCTCACTGATGGTCAGGCTATCGGCATTGAAAACTGACCCACTCCCGCTTTAGTTTTGAGTAAGAAGTGAGGGTGGTGGTGGGGGTTTGATGTTCTCAGGCCAAACTATAACATAGCCTTATAGTTTTCAGGGCGAAAAAAGGCCTTTTAAAAGGGATTATCTATCACGTTATCCAATTCGGGAATAATTTACACACCGCCACCACCAATTTTTGCTAAAATACCTCCAGAATTCAAGAACGCAACTACTAGACGCCAAACAGGCAGCCGGACCTACGGCTTCCCCAGAGTTGTGGTCCCGGCGTCTGACTTTGATTTTGAAAGGTGAGAGACTGGGGCGAAGGAGAGGACGAAGAGCCAATCGCAACGTGGGGCGCTCGCACGTTCTCTAAACCCTTTAAGGGCTGGGCTAGAGAAGAGACGACGGGGGCGGAGACACCTGGCGATCATTTTAGTGCTCCAAGGTGACCAGGCTGTGACAGAACAACGCCTGCGCAGTAGATCCAAAGCCTCACTAAGCTTCGACGACTTGCGGAGGGCGGGGCCGCTGCGTCGCAAAACAAACAGGACTTGCGAGTTTCGAGGACCCGGATGTTTCCGCCCCTAGAGCAGAGCCGGAAGAGGGCGGGACAAACCGGAAGAAGGTGAAATGCTTTCGCTAGGCACTTCATGGCCGTGAAGATGGCGGTAGCTGCGTGGCTTCAGGTGCTGCCTGTCATTCTTTTTCTTCTTGGGGCTCAGCCGCCCCCACTGTCGCTTTTCGGTGTAGGACCGTCACCCGTTTCTGCTACCGACCGATCTAAGTGGCACATTCCCATACCGTCGGTGAGTGATCACTTGAGGAGCAACTGAGCCCGGAGGAGTAAGGGGTGGGGCTACGGCGGCTCCAGGAGTCCAAGAACGTTCCCCTGAAGTCCGCTTTCAAAGGGGCGGGATTGCTGGGCGCGTCGGTGTCGCGGGTTAACTGGGACCAACCTCCCAGCAGCTAAAAGCCATGCACTTCTGTGGATGTGTTAGCTGGAGTGTCATGGTCCAGTTCGGGGAAAGAGAGTGGCGAAGCGCTTCAGCAAAGTCAGAACTTTCAGTGCGTGACTAGAGACATATAAACTTAGTATATAGGTGGAAAGTCGTTTCTTTTTCAGCACAAGTTTCATTAGAGTCCACTGACCCTGGGTTGAGTGAGGGGGATATGATAAGCGCCTCGTTTTTTCTTTTTTTTATACTTTTTTGTTACTGAATAATTCTGCAATTCTGCCGACGAGTTATTTGATATTGTTTGAACTTTGAAATGGTGATACTAAGCTTTGCTACGTGATTCAGAAGTCTGGGCATTTTAAAAGCGTATTCTAACATGAGATTGACTAAAATGGAAGTATTCTTTGGATACTAGAGGAAGTATTCTACATTCTAATAAGGTATTTTAAAATTGTGATATGGTAAGGCTAGTCTTTTGGGCAATTCACTAGAGAGGATTAACCTTATTTACCTCTCCCTCCCTTCTTCCGTCTCCCCCCAACCCTCACTTACGTAAAAACTAGTCCTGTGAACAGCCAAAAATCAGGTGTAGGCTGGAAATGTGGAGAAGTTCTTTTAGCTCCACAGTGGCATTTTTGTTTCACTTTGCTCTCAGGCTGTAATGTCCAAATCGTATTTGAGCTTTTCATATAGCAAGCATTACAGTATTGGTTCATTTAGTGAGATCTTTAGGTTCTCAAGTTCAGGTGTCTTCGTTAAAATGGTTAGTTGCTGTATATGATCATGATAGAATAGTTTATTTGAAGAACGGATTGGCTGTTCTGGTCAGTGAAATGTCTGATGAAGGGAATGCACAGATCAGGTAGTATCTTCCATGAAGATTTAAGTTGGTATTTCTAACAACCTCTTACCTAGAGGCTTTTGTTTGATAGCGGGTGTGGGGGAGTAAAGTCACATTTCTGCATCAGCGCCCAAGATCCTGCAGCTTGGCTGTGGTTGAAATTACTAAAAGAAAAGTTGTTGATGTCTGTTGTAAAGAAAGCTAATCGAAAGTTTTATAAATTTTACCAGTTATATTCTGCCCTGGGAACTAAAGCCATCTGATGCTAATTATCTTTTTCTCCTTTATCTTTGCAGGGGAAAAATTATTTTAGTTTTGGAAAGATCCTCTTCAAAAATACCACTATCTTCCTGAAATGTGAGTTTTTACATTTCATGAAGTTTTATTAGTTTTTGAGTGATCTTTTAACTTTTCAAATACCTATTTTACACTTCTGATGATACACTCTTACTCAATTACCTGTCTCATACTTCTGATGATACACTCTGCATTTAATAGTTTGGGACTCTGGGTATTAATATATGTATTGTTAAGGTCCTTTCACTGAATTGTCTTAGAATTCTTATTTGTGTGAACTTGATTTTCTTATTTCTCTGGTGTTTAGTAACATATGGTTAGACAAATTGTGTTGGTTGATTGCATGCATGGTGTTTTAATATGTTCTGAGTCATGCAGATACCACCAGTTTTTCTTTTGTATGTTAGGTGTTTGCTGACCACAGGATACTGGCTTGTTAGACCAGTCACTCTTAACGGATATATTCAGTAAATCTTTTGTTTGCAAAAGGAGTATTTTACCACCTGGATCTTTGGAAAGGGAGGTTCAAAGTTATTATCAGGAAGTAGCGAATATGTAGAACAAAACCAGTCTGTCCACTGGGAAAACAACTGTATCTGAAACCAAAATATCCCATTGTGTATGAAAGAAAAGCTTTCTTTTATTTCTGAAAGTGCCTTTATATTATCAAATAAATGATATTGTGGGCAGCTCCATTTCGGCATCAGGGATAAAAATCCAGATTGTTTATGTGTGCATGTGTACATATCTCTCCATGAGACTGCAAAATTTTTAAGTTACAGTTGAAAGATTATATTCATTTAGTTATTTAGTAAGTAGTTATCAGTACCTGTAATGCACAGGCACTGTTTTAGAGTGATAGAAATAATAGAAAAGGCCTGGTTTCCTGTTGAGTTTTTGAATTAGTGGGGGTTGAGAAGGTAGGTAGTTTATGTGAAGAATATACAATAATATTAAATTTCATTTAAATTGAATCTACTTTGACACAGTGGTCTTTCTTGTGAGGCTGATACATTATTTAGATAAAGATTAATTTTTAGGGATAGCAGTATTTTGTGTGATGGCCTTTGTGTTAGTCTTTTATGATATACAGTCTTTTCTTCCTTATAGTTTGATCTAGTGGTGCTTTGACAAGTTACACAAGCTGCAAATTTTGAAGTGTCTACATTTTATGTTTTTGGAGGATTTGTGGCTCTTTTAAAATTTGTTGCGTCTGTGCTTTTCATATTTAACTAGTCTATGATTTTTGTGGATATGGCGCATTGCTTTCCATGAAGTAGGTGTTTCTAACTCCCCCTTCATGAAATGGTCAGTCTTAGATTTACACTCCAAAGTTTTTCATACTGATTGGCCTATTAAAATATTAGGCTCTGGCCCTCCCTGGTGGCACCGCAGGTTAAAGCACAGCACTGAGAATCTAAAGCCGCTTCCTCATGAGTTCGATTCCTGCCTGCCCCGGAGGTGACCACATGGCATGGCAGACCTCTCCTGACCCGCCCGCTGCTCCCCTCCACAGTGTACTTTGTCGATCTGCCTGTTCTGCTCCCGGCTCTGTCTCTGGTAAAGCCTCTCACTGCCCCTGAGCCTCTGGCCTGTACCCTAGTTCTGATTGCACAAATAAATAAATCTTAAAAAAAAAAAAAATAAGGCTCCAAACTAATGAGTTATATGAGTTCTCTATGACTTCATGAAATTCTTATGGTGGGTTTTGAATCCCAAGAATCTAATATTTTTTATCTTTGTTTTTGTTGTTCTTAACTTTCCCCAGCCAGGTTTACTTTGTTCATAGTTCTATTTAATCTTATTGTCTTTCAAGGTATAAGTGATAAATATTTTCCTCAAGGAACCATTTATTCTGGCACTTAACCATCATGAATATTGTCTTATGACATCCCTAATGTTGTTTGGCCTCGTCTCATTATGATGTAGCTCTTTTTAAGGGCCTTTAGTAATTTGTTTCTTTTAATTTCCCTCTTTGACCTACAGTTCCTTATAGTGGAAGTGTGTTGGGCCCATAACTTTGTACACACAAGTGCTCTCTGTGAAGTAAAAATTTGAATGATAATGAAAAACTGGCTTTAATTAGTTCTGCTTTATAACTTGCAGGTTATTCCCTAGAATACCAGAAATGGAGGTTTAAAGGCAGAAAAACAGATAACATAGTTTCAAAGTTAAAAGCTGCTTAACTGCTGTACAGTTGGAACAAAACTTTTGTATCTGGATAATATCCAGTTCTTATGTATATCACTTTGTTACCTTATATATGGAGAAGGCTTTTTTTTTTT